TTTTTTTTTTTTTTGTGACCGGTAAGGGGATCGCAACCCTTGGCTTGGTGTCGCTCGCACCACCGCGCTCAGCCAGTGAGCGCACAAGCCATCCTTATATAGGATCCGAACTCGCAGCGGGAGCGCCGCTGCACTCCCAGCACCGCACTCTCCCAAGTGAGCCATGGGGTCGGCCCCTCAATTTTCAATATAATATTTTGTTCATATGCATGGTTCTGTATGATATAATATTAATGAATATCAGAGATTAGTGTCATCACGAGATAAGGCTAATGGGAAGCAAGAAACCACGTTCTGCGGTCTGGTTTGAAAGGGTCTGTGACAGGGATATAGTAGTAACCCTGTTCTCTGAATGAAAAAAAGCCCTGATTTGTAGCATTTGCTGATTTCCACAGTGTATATACCTACACCATGCCAATTGCAAACTACCCTGGTTTTAACAACTCACACAATTCTTTTGAGTATTAAGAAAGCAAATTAAGGTAGCTCCTCCCACCCCTGACTCACTGACTTCTTGGTTGGAACTGGCTTTCAAAAGTTGAAAAGAGCAGAGGTTCCTCTCCCAACATAATTGCTCTCCCTTAAGACTCGTCCCTGTCCCAACTGTTTCCCTCTGCCTGTGGAGCTGGGTCTTCCTGCTTCTTAAATGGAACCTAGTGTATGAAGCACAGTCACAGTGCACCAGCAAGACCCAGTAGAAGCCCCTTGTTGTGAAGACCTTTCTCCCTGCAGTTTTAGCATTATCCCTCTCTAGCGTGAAAGTGGGATTCAGCATTGATTCAGTTATTCAGATGAGTTCTGGGAGGTTGCCAAGACTTGAAGTCCCAGCATGGCACTCCAAGGTTCAAAGGTCTGGGCTTAATCAGCCTTCATCAGTTTCCAGAAAGATTGATGGGCTGAGGGCACAGTGGATCTCCTATGATTCCTGAGAGAGGTTGTGATTTGATTTGTGAATCACAAGGTCTGGAGTATTTGATTAATTTACAGAACTTGGTTATGTTCCTTGTTCACACTTCATCAGTTTTCTCATCTATTTCTGTGAATAATAACACTGATAACCTCACTTTGTAAGAATTAGAGTTAATGCATGTAAAGCAAATATAATATTTTATATTGTATATTACCAATTAAGATTTATGATGAATTGATGACTTTCCCAT